AACAGCTATTGGGCTTCGCATTGAACAACCTTTGAGCACACAGGGAAGAATGACTGATATATAGAATATCTGTGAAAGCACCCTTGACAGTTCATCAAGCTGTGTTCGGCCTTTCGTACTGCTGGTAACTTTTTCAAATTCTCGGCAGTGAATACTTCTAAATATTGTTGACGTTCTTTCGTCTTGCGAGAATTTCAAGTGCTGAATTTCTTGCACAGTGGCAGCAGCTTTCTATACTGAATGTAGTACCGACAAACATGTTGGAAAATCGCGTATATGTGTTCCATCATCCGCGAGCAAGAAACCAAAGTGAAGTTGTTTTCATTGAAGAAATGTCTGTTGGTCAAGTTTTTGAAAAGCAATTCCAGCAAACTAGAGTAAAAAATGTACAGTGGATCTGATGAAAGTACTGGAACCAGTGAATGAGATGGAGATTGGGTGTCAAGAACAAGCTTTACAAAAGGATGTTACTTTAAAAGAGTTATATGACGTTGCAGCAGCTTTCACAGGACGAAAAAACAGATTTGCAATAAATTTGCATGCTTGCAAATTAGTTGCAAATTCGATAACTAATTTTGCAATAAGTTTGCGTATAAAGTGTTTTAGATTTGCAACCACTAAATTTACTTCAAATTTGCAAGCTGCTTTGCACAATCTGCAAATTTATTCATAACTTTGCAATAAATTTGCCAGCGAAGTAAATTCATTGTGTAAATTGACTTTGCATAAAAAATACTTACCTTTGCCATAAGAAATTTCCTGTGGCATATGTATATTTAAATTTACCACAAATTTGCCAGCAAAGTAAATCTGTTGCGCAGTTTATTACAGATTTTAACTTTTCTTGACTTTGCAAGAAATTAGGGAGCAGTAATTATTAATGCGTGGAAGATATTTCTAAACTTGTGGTAAATTTTTCATGGCCCCTCGTTCTTTCAAAATATTTTTTCATGGCCCCCCCTTTTAGATATAATAAATTTTCATAGCCCCCCCCTCCCCCTGTGAACTTGTATTCTAAACATATAAACATATATAAACCTTTTTGTTTTAATTGAACCTTTTCGCAGATATTATTCTGACGATCATCTTCCTTTGCTCTGAGCTGTAAAAAGAAATTTAATATTAATATCAAAGGTTAAAACATGTGTGGACCAAAATATTATCTCCACAATTTTAAATACCAATGTATGTTGAGAGCCTCCAGTTTCCAGCCACTCTGCCACTCCTTGTTGCTACAAACAAGTTTTCAACTGCATCATTTTTGTCACTGTCCTCTCCTGGTGCTTCATCATCTTTATCATTATCTTGAACAGTGCATGCTTGAACAGTGCATGTGATGACCTGCAAATGTAAAATATATTGCTATTATTGATATAAAATGAGGTATAATGTCATTAGTCAACCATTTTAACTTTAATATGATAGGATTTGTAAATAAATTGTAGAACTTAAAGTACATACCTTGTCCATTTCATCATCTGAATCATAACTGTCACTACTCTCCTCACCACTATCAGCATTTTCTGTAATAAAACCGCGGTTTTGAAATGGAGATTCACATGATTTACAATTGCTTCAATTTTTTCTTTCTTCTTAAGCTTGAAACAGCCCTTCATATTGTGCCTGATCAAGTATTTATCCAGTGTGCTGACCAATAATTTGTTGATTGTTCTGTTTTTCACAATCTCCAACCAGTTGATGTCATCATAGCTTCGTTCTGCATCTCTTCTATTTCGTTTCTCTTTCTTTCTGGTTTCTCGTGTTGCTTCTTTGCAATGTAAGTCATCAAGGGCGTTTCTCACAATACACTGATCCACAATGTGCTTCTGACAATATTTCAGCATCACCATTGTTCAACTGACCTTCGTGGAACAGTTTCTTCAATTGTACCCTTGGATTAAAATCATTCACCTCCCTACTGACATCATCAATATCACTGGGTGTATCTTTAACATATTGGTATTTAAACTCGTCAGATGTGTAATCAGGCATTGGTTCTGGTATGGCAAAACAAGCAAATCAACCCAACCCATCCCTTGGCAATGTCCACAGGGAGTGCCACTGCTTGTGCAACCAAACTTCACAAACTCAAAGTACTTCTCACCTCTTGGAGAAAGCCTCAAGTTTAGAATAGTAGTTGTAGCCAGGGACTACTTCATTGTTCTTCCTTTCAGTAAAACCTAGCAGATAACACTTGTCCCAGTAGAATAGTTTGTCAGCATCTTTGCTTGCAAAACTTTTCATATACCCATCTGGAGCAACACCACAATCTATTCGCTCAGCAACTTCTTCAGCCACCTTAAAAGCATTAAACTTCATTCTTTCAAGTTCTAACTCTTCAAATTGGGAAGTTGTTATATTTGAAACATCTAAATTTGATAGTACATCAGACTTGGTTTTGTGTTCCCAGGTCAATGACCCATCATCACATACAGCATCACCTATAAAACATTTTTTAATAGGAAAAATGTAAGAGAAATTGACCAAAAAGGTATATATATGTGAGGCTTTTTACTGTGCACAATGGTGACGATGCATTAATTATTTTACAACTATAATTCCAATGATGTTTTACCAAGATAAATATCTCTCTGCATGTAAGCAGAGCATTTATGTAATATAAACATATACCACCTGTGCAACCACAACACTGTGTACTTTTCTCATGCATAATAGTGTGTTCTAATTTACTTGTAGATAATTCAATGAAATGTAATGTTGATCAAGTCAATACAATTATACAGACATACCTACGTAACTCTGAATCCTTTCTATTTCATTATGACTACTGTCTCCAGGTGCAAGATGATGACATATATAATAATCATAATTCATTATTCTAATCTCCTCCACAGAGCGTATCTTCACTTCATGATTAGTTATTCCCAAACCAGGTCCTGTATCTGTGAAGTCAACAAGTCTGGATTTATGCTTTGGCAGTCCAACTTCAGTCAAGAGTTCTTTGCAATCATGTAACTTGCCTTTCATGTTTTTCACATCCGCGTTATCGCCCTGTAATGTAAGCTTGTACTGCAATACACTCAGAGCGTCTCCAACTTCAATACCATGTGCTGTAGAAATGCCTGCTCTATATGACAACAGTGATTCATAATTTCATTTATGGATGACATGTGTCAGGGGTCGAAATTTAAATGTTTTTGTATCCACTATTCCTTAATGCACTGTTTCTGATTTTCATGAAATCATCCTTGAGACTCCTAAAGTGAATGGAATAATTGAATAACAAAAAATAAACATGTACAGTGCATTGCTCTGTACAGTGATTAACAAATTATTAATAAAAACCAAAGTTCAAACACTGAAATGAACTTGCGAAGTTTGCGCCAAATTTCCGAACTTGGAAACGTAATTGGCAAGTTCGCAACAAACTTGGGAACCGCACGTTGAAAAGTAACTTGAAAATGACAATAATATTGCTGCAAAGAACTTAGAATATGCAAGTACTGCAAGCGAACAAGAACTTAGCTACGAAGTGGAACAGTGGCTCAAAGTGGGGTATAAAGTGATTTTATATAAGATCGGGTAAACCCTTGCTTGTCGATATTTGGTACCACAAATTTTTCTACTATACAAACGGAATACTGTGATCATGAAGTTTACTATTCCGTCATGCATTTT